GATGACCTTCGGAGACATCTGGATCAAGGCGGATTGGCGCTACTAAATCTTGAAATATTGGCGGCGTTTGATATGGTTGACCATGAGGTGTTAACCCACCGCCTCGCTGATGCTGAGATATGGGGGCTTGCCTTGCAGTGGCTGACCTCCTTTCTCCAGGGTCGGGGACAGAGGGTGTTTCTGATGTGACAACATAGTATACAGACAGATCTGACAATGGGGACTTCTCTTCTGCTTCTTTTAATTGTGGTGGTAGTAGTGGAGTCTCTTTAGGATGTGCTGGTGGAAGACGCGTACTCCTGTATTTATGTGGATGACACCAGCTCTATCTACTGATGGACAGCCGCCTGAACATGGCCCCAGGAGATCTGGACAAGGCATTACAAGCTGTGGATAGGTGGTCGCAACAGAGCCAACTGAAGCTAAATCTATCTAAGACGGAGGTCCTGTACTTGAGTCATGGGGAATCAGGCTCCCAACCTTCGATGGGGCTCCATTGGTGCCAGCGTCGAGGGTGAAGAGTCTGGGGATGTTACTGGATGCCTCGCTTTCTGTGGAGGCCCAGGTCACCACCACTGCCAGGTCTGTCTTTTTTCATCTGAGGTGGATCAGGCAGTTGGCCCCATATCTCACACCCCGAGACCTAGCTACAGTGATCCATGCAATGGTCACTTCCAGACTGGACTGTTGTAACTCTCTCTATGTGGGGCTGCCCTCGACCTTGCTCCAGAAGTTACAGCTAGTGCAGAATGCAGCAGCACGAGTGTTGACGGCAACGCCTGTGTGGGCTTGCATCCACCCAGTGCTGCGTGAACTGCACTGGCTGCCTATTGAATTCCAGATTCGTTTCAAGGTGCTGGTGCTTACCTTTAAAGCCCTATACAGCTAGGGACCAGCATACCTTCGAGACTGCCTCTCCCCATATGAGCCCCAGAGGACACTGAGGTCTGCAAATCAACATCTTCTAGCAGTCCTCAGCCCCAGAGACATCCGACTAACCTCGGCCAGGGCCAGGGCTTTTTTGGCCCTAGCCCCCACCTGGTAGAAAGAGCTCCCAAATGAGATCAGGGCCCTGCGGGATCTATTACAGTTCTGCAGGGCTATAAGACGGAGCTCTTCCACCAGGCCTTTGGTTGAGGCAGTGGACGTCCCTCTTTCCTCCTGGCTATCTCCCCTGCAGTGGCCTTTATCCCAATATTGGGGTACTGCTGAATTGCAAATAAGCTAATTGACATCAGAACTAACTTCTGCACAGTATTTTAGGGTTTTATTGTTTTAAATGGTCTTTTAATGGTTGTTTTAATAAGGAGGGTGCGAGGGGAGGCTGGTATATAAATCAAAAAAATAAATAAAAATAATATAAACAAATAAAAATAAATAAAAATAATATAACAATGTTCCTCTCCATGTACAGTACAGCAGGTTTGTTTGCTCTCAAATCTTTCCATACATGTGATTGTTAAAGATGGGTTATGAGAGTTCAAGTGCTTCTACAAGGGAGAACCCATGGTTTGTCCATTTTTAAAGCAAAATCTTTGGTAGACCCAATGAGATTAGTTTACTGAAGCCCTGTTCCCATATGACAGTGAATGTACATACACTCTGCATGTAGTGCATTACCTGTTTGTAAGAAAGAGTCAATATGCATTCACTTTGCAAATGAAACCTGGGACGAATACCTGGATAAATGTGGCATTTCATTTGCTCGTTTGGCTGTACGTGAGCTGAAAATAACATGAGAATTAGTACACATATAAAGAAAAATCGAGTGTACATTATACATGGATTGTACATGTCTGCCCTGCTACTTGAGAACAAGGCTGAATTCTGATCACAATGAAACAGCTATTATTGCACCCTTTGGCAGCTGTTAACCCCTCCACACACAGCAGACACATCCACGATTTAGAGCATGCTGCTGTATTACAGATTTTATGCTCCATAACTTTTAAAATGGGGCCTGTTTTTTCGGGTCTGGGTGTGGAGTAGAGCTGACCTTTCTGAACCCACCATGGTGGGGGGGGAGTGATTTGGCAATCACTGTCTTGGTGGAACTTCTGCTGATTCTTTTGTTTCGGTGAATATTGTGTGTGTTTATGTGCTTGTGAGCCTTGAAGTCACGGTGACTTCTGGCGACCCCTAGTGGGGTTAAGACGTTTCAGAGAGGTGGCTTTGATATTATCTGCCTCTGTGTCCCGGCTGTGGTATTCCTTGGAGGTCACCCTTCCAAGTACTTGCCAGAGTCGGCCCTGCTTAGCTTCCGAGATCTGATGAGATCCGGCTTGCCTGGGCTATCCAGGTCAAGGCGAACTTCTGCTGACTCTTGCTGCACTCTCCTGGGGTGGGCTGTTATATAACAATGTCTTGCTCAAAGCCTGATGTAAAAAAAAAAAAAAAAGGCTGACTAGTTCAAATCAATAAATGAAATTCAGCCATTGCTTCAGCCCACTGCTTCTCGTCCTTGTTGCCTGGTCACAGTGCTGCAGTGAAAGCAGCAGCCATGATGGGCCGAATTCCTTTTCGAAACGCTACTTAAAGTTTCAGCAGCCCAAAGTCCAAAATCAGCCGGCTATGGTTTTTTGACCCTCATTCCCCAGATGCCCTTGCAAATTCACTTCTGTCATGCTGATTGCATGCCTCTCTTTCTGTTGCTAAACATATGGGATGTTTTATCCCAGTACTACATTTCTCTGTCCTGCACCCATTATTTCCTCAGGTCTCTGCCTTTTAGCACACGTCCTACTTTGCCCCTCTGCCTTTAGCCATGTTTGTTTCTTGATTAACCTCTCAAGCACTTCAGCCTCTTTACCTGCCCCATAGCAAACCCCCCCCCCCCATTTAGATACTGAATGGTTTTTCAGGGCTTCCTGTTTGGTATAGTGGTTAAGTTCACGGACTCTAATCTGGGAGAATCGGGTTTGATTCCCCATTCCTTCACTTGCAGCTGCTGGATGACCTTGGGCAAGCCATAGTTCTGGCACAGCTGTTCTTGAAAAAGAGCAGTTTCTGCCAGAGCTCTTTCAGCCCCGCCTACTTCACAGGGTGTCTGTTGTGGGGAGGGGAAGGGAAATGAGTTTGTAAGCCGCTCTGAGACTCCCTTGGGTAGTGAAGGGTGGAGTATAAATCCAATCTCTTCTTCTTTCTCATGCCTCCTCATCCTTTTTCCTAAGCTGTTCCTCTGTCTGTTTCCTACTGTACACACTCTTTTTGACCACCTTAGCTTTCCAACCTTCTGGGAGCTCTTCCCAGTCCTCTTTCTGTCCCATTAGCCTGCTCTTGCCCCAGAATCTGTGTAATGTTTTAATCCAACTTTGTGGGGGGAAATTGGGAAAATTGACTGCAGATACTCTGTGGTATTTGTTTTCCGAGTAGGTAGAATGTTTATGAGTGTTCCGTGCCATCAGTTATTGCCATCAGTCAGAGTGAGGCTCGACTGCCAAAAAGCACAACACACATTTCTGGTGCCATTAGTATAAATTGTCTGTGATCCGGGGGGGGGGGGGGGGGGAGACAGGCACCTGACCCAAGGACCTTACAGTCTAAATTTTGCCAGAGGAATGGGATGGGTGAGTTGGAAAGGCAAATGTAACAGGCAAAGAATATGTGCAAATGCAGTCCATGTGCTTGAGCTTCATTGCAGTAGATGATGATTAAAGGGTTGAGCTAAAATCTTTCAGCCATGAGCAGTGTTCCCTCCAAGCTGAGCTAGTGTGAGTTAGCTCAGTTTTTTTAGCCTCCAGCTCACACATTTTTGCCTTAGCTCAGGAAGGACAGCTCCAGAGCAAACTAATTGATGCGGTAGCCAAATCGCTCACTCGCGACTTTAATGCCAGTGGCTCATCAAGTAGATTTTTTTGCTCACAGGACTCCACAGCTTAGAGGGAGCATTTTGGGAAACTTAGTTGGTTGCTTGTAGTGTTCTTGAGAGTACATATTTTAGTATTTTGTATTATGTTATGAAATACTCTTTTCAATGATCTGTTATTGTTTCTTAAACATCTAATTAAAAAAAAAAGACTCCACAGCTTAGAGGGAGCATTGGCCATGAGGAAGGGTTTGAGGTTCCAGCCTTTGCAGGCCTGGAAGGGTCCCTGGTGTGATTCTTCCACAGTGGTCCATATTAAGCACATCAGATAAGCTTAGGGCTGAAAGAAGGGGGTTATTACAGCGATGGATGTGAAGCGTAGTTGGCAGAGTCTGCTGCTCTGAGCTTGTTGGAAGAAGGATGGGATAAAAATGCTCTAGAGGTAACAGTACCAATAATCTCCCAAAAGACTATTGCTTCTCTAGGTGACTTTCCTGGGATCCTGAGGGAAATGCAGGTGTTTGGGAGCATATAAGCAGGGTGATATTGCTGCTTCAATTTGGTTAAAGTTTTGATTTTCTTGTGGCTCAAATCAAAACTGTCAGATGTGACACACACACACAGAAGACCCTCCATCGCTTCTGTGTCAGCAGGCCCACTGGTTAGTGAGGCAGGCATTTCAAAGTAGGACGTAGAGAAACACCTTGGACCAGTGTCGTCTTTATTCTGGGAATCTCCTGATCCCGGGGGAGTCTATCCCAGGCCAGTGTTGATATAACTCCAAGGTTTGCTGCCTTCCTCAGTTTGGGCAACTTGTTGCTGTAGGGAACCCTCAGATTGCTCCTTCACCTGCCTGTTATCCCCTCTGCTCAGGGCATTTGTCACTTCGCCAGCTGCTGAGGGCTGAATCATGCTGCCATTTGGGTCTAGGGGCCTGGGATCACTTAACTTGGCCTCCAGCGCCTGAGCCCTTTGCCTCATCCTCTTTACAGGTTGGTCGCGCCAGTAACTCGACTGTGCTGGTCTGAAATCCCGATAAGAAACTGTATTTCTACCTTTAGTTAAGAAGCCCACTGACCTCTCCTGATTCTCTCTCAATGTTTGAATGCTGTAGGATGATTGCAACTCTGCTTTGGCTGGGTGGAGGCATAGGTTACATTTGGACTGGTTCTTCTTACTCGACCTTTTTTTGCAGGACACCTTGAAGCCTGCATTCACAGTCACCAACCTGCCAGGGACGACGTCAACCATCCAGACGGCACCCACCACCTCCACCTCCATGCAGGTCAGCAGCGGTCCCTCGTTCCCCATCACCAACTACCTAGCACCAGTGTCTGCCAGTGTCAGCCCCAACGCAGTCACCAGTGCCAACGGGACAGTGCTGAAAACCACTGGAACCAGCGCAGTAGCTTCTGGAGGGCTAATGCAGATACCCCCTGGCTTTACGCTCATGTCAGGTCAGTTATCTCTCTTGCCGGCTAAAGCATTTCCAGATTCTCCCTGTGGATTCCTCCAATGCCATGGGCGTGCCTTAGCCCTCTTGTTGCTTGGGAGGGGCCGGAATTGGAATGCTTGAAGCGGCATTCTCTTGAATGTGGTTGGTTCAGAACTGAGCAGGGCTGAGGGTAGGATTGGCTGTAAGGATCAGTGAGTGGTAAATCCCTGGAGTGCATGAAATTCTGTGGAAGCTTAAATGTTGCTGTTCCTGCTGCCGGCCCCATGGTTCCTGTTGGTGAAAGGAAAACGGGATCTTGATGTGTCCCCAAATCTCTGTTTGTGAGACTTGTAGGGTTCAGAGCTGGGACATGGAGCTAAGCCCCCTTCCTCTCAGTATGGGCCTGTGGGAGGAAACGTGGCATGAGCAAGGGGCCTGAAGGAGGTATTTAAAAAGAACTGGCTCCTCTAAAGCCTTTTTTCTCCCTCCTTACCGGCAGGTGCTCCACTCCCTCCTGGGACCCCTACCATTCCTCTCACTACTCAGTTACAGCCGCACTCACTGGCTCTCTCCAGCCAGCAGGGCCAGGTGGCGGTCGCAGGCACACCTGGACAGCTGCAGAAGGCACAGCAGACAGTCTTCCGATTTCCAGCCACAGCTGGAGGGCAGATTGTGTCTCTGACAGGACTCAGCGCTCTCTTCTCCACTTGCTCCCCGGAGGTTGCTGGGGGTGCTTGTTTGGGCTGAAGCCTGTTGCCCTGCCCCGAGATTGGCCGACTGAGATTCTTCACTGGGGGGTGGGGGGCAGGGATAGCCAGTGGGGCAAAGTTTGCAAGTGGAGGTGGGGATATATCTTCTGTTAGGTATTGAACTCAGGGAGGAAGGAAAGGAGGAGGTTGAGTTTTGGAATCGGCTTGCTGTTAAAACAGACAGTGATCTATTTTAAGAAGCCCCCTTGTGGTTATTTTCCATAGTTTTAAATGACTTAGTGAAAACAGGGAAAGTACTCAAAATGGATAGTACTCAAAATGGGATTAGCCGGGCATCTGAAGCTGCAGAGTCTTTTGTGTGCGAGCCATTTATCAAAGCAATTTTGGCTTGTAAAAACATTGTTTTGGAACATGGAATTTCAGCCTGTACGACAGAAACACTGCTGATCTTTCTTGTTGGTGTAGTGTAACAGGTAAGAGACTGAGCTACAAAATGAGGAGTCCCCAGCTGGAGTCTCTAGGTGCCTTTAGATCACATATACACTGTATGCCCCACCCCCCAAACAATATGGGAACAATACTACCTCATTTTACAGAGTTATTGTAAGGATAACAACAAAATAACACACGCTAAGTGCTTTGAAGAGCTGAATGCACTATCCAGATGCTGAGCATTGTCACCGAATGTGAATGTTCCGCTTCTACTTGTGTTATCAGGATAGCGTGGATTGTGTTGTATTGTTTAGTTAGGATTGTACAGGAGCTTTTATTGTGGCCGTGGATTTTCTCCTGTTAGTGCAGCTTTTGGGGGCTACTGGCAGGAGAAATGTCTCCCTTCTGAAGCTGTTCCACTGTGTGCCTTTACTGCAGGGGTAGGCAACCATTTTTGGTCTGAGCGAGGAAAGCAAGGCAACCTCTGCCTGTGATGATGTTAGTGTGCTGGCAGACAAAGGAGGTGGGGGGAATGAGGCTTGTGCTGGCCCCAGAGGCAGCTCCATTTGAAGAGGTAGGTGCAGTGGCATCAACGACTTCACAGGTTGAGTACGCTGGCCAGCAATGCTCATTTGCACCTGTGCAGCACAGCACCAACCATTTACTGCGACTGAGACCTCAAGGAGCCCCAGTTGATGACATCACTGCTTGGCACACCCCCCCCCCAACTGCAAGAACTGTACTGTGACCTGGTCTGGCTCACTGATATCCCTGCTTTGGGGGCAGGGCACTGTGCTGAGAAAATGTTCTGGCATGCCATGTTTGCATATGTGCCAGGAGTTGCTTTCTCCTGCTTTAGTGCATGTCTCATTTGTCACAGTTGCCATTTTTAAAGGCATATCTACTTTTAAAGCAAAAAAAAAAAAAAAGCTGCTGCTATTGCAGTGATGTGGACTGCACTGTTTGTGGGGGAGGGAGATCTGGATGATAATATAGGGAGGAGGAGGAGAGGCTTGTGGTTTTACTGACCTTAGCTGTGACTGCCAATATTCATCAATTCATCCCAAGCAAGCAGGAGGAAGAGGAGGTATGGTAGAGAATTGGGAAAAGAGGCCATTTTGAAGGCTGCTCTGGTTGCCTGTATATTGGAACTGGGGTCAGGGCTGGCTCACTCACTAGGCGAACTAGACTTTCGCCTAGAGCGCAGGGCCATCATGGGGGCGCCGGGCCGGGGGCCCATGCACCCTCCCTCTGTCGCTCGCAGCCATGTGCGCGTGTCTCCTCTGCCGGCCCTGAGCCGTGGTGCCGCTGCTCCCCGCCGCCCAGCAAAGCCAGCGCCCCGGCTGGCCGGCCAGCCTCCCTCCCTCCTTTCCACCGCGGCTGCCGTGGCCTGCCTGCCCTGTCGAGCGCTGAGGCGCCCCAACCCTCCGGCTCCCCGCTGCCTGGCATGTGCAGAAGGACGCCGAATGCTCTCAGGCGACGACCTGAGGAGGCAAGGCCACACAGGAGAGTCCTCCTGCTCAGCGCCAGGGCCGGTGGGGGCAAGGGGAGGCCAGTCCTCCTCGCCCCTCCTGCCACCACTTCTCTCCCAAGAGGGGAGGAAGGAACCCCCGGCAGGATCTGCCCAGAGCCGGTCCCTCTCGCCCAGCAGCAGCCTCCCACCTTGCCCTGCGCCCTGGCTGGGGCCTTTCACTCAGGTGCCACCTGGCCCTACTTCTCCTCCTCCTCCTCTCGTGGGCAGCAACTTTCCCCAGGCACCCCCGTCCCACATCGGCTCACCCTCCCCCCTCCCAGGTCCCGTGAGGGAGGGCCGCCTCCCGGCTGAGCTCCTCCAAGAACCTGGGGCTGCAGCCAAGCGGGGCTGGGAGCCCGGGCGCCGCCTGCCCCCCCCAGTTCTCATCTGGCTTCCTCATCTCCCCCCCCCCGTGCGCCCCCGCCCATGGTTGCCAACTCAACTCCGGTTTGGGGATTTCCTGGAGATCTGCGGGTGGCGGTGGGGAGGGGAGGGAGCTCCGCGGGGCAGAACATCCCCCCAGTCCCACCCTCCCCAAGCGACCCCTTTCTTCTGGAGAGCGGTCGTGATTCCGGGAGGTCTCCAGGCCCC